ACTTGTAAACATGGTAGCACCTAAATAAAGAAAAACCTAGTTGCCCCCGTGGACTAGCTACCTAAATAAAGAAAAACCTAGTTGCCCCCGTGGACTAGCACGATCAATCTGATCGTGTGAACCACGTAAATTCTTGTGTTCTTCTCTTGTTTTTTGGGTTGTGCGTATTGCGTGTGTAGCGTTTGACCTAACAGTAATATTCTTGGAATAGTTCGATAAGGTAGCTATAAGGGTTTGCTTAGTTTACTTCCAAGTAATCAGTGTATTCCCTATGGTAATTCCTTGTCCATTTTAGGAATGACCTTTGCATGGGTCGGCAGACACCTAATATCAGCAAAGACATATTGAGACATTGTTTTGTGTTTTTTTCTGTAAGGGCTAGTACTTTTGCTGCTCATTATCTAAGTAGGTATTGAAAATTCCATTATCAATCTCATCTTTCTCTTTATAGGGAAAGTATAATCCCACGTCAGTGGTTCTAAAAGATCAATTTGATATCATTCTAATGACGTTGCGTTGGCGATGGGCTAAATCTAGCTACAAGTTAACTAAGAAATACAATATACGGTCAAGTGTATTGTGCAAAGTACTTAGATAGGGATTTCCAACTCCCAACATCTCTTCGTCATCATCCTTTAGACAAAATAGATTTTTTCTTATATCCAACACTTTGACCGATCATGGGAGTGCTAGCCGTATGCGCTTTGTCCATATTAAATCACCTGATCATTTTTGGACATATGCAAATCGGTGGATTAATATTCCACAAACTTGGTGTCCGAGCTCCAATAGCTAGACAGAACCAAGTTTTCCCAAGATCTTTCCTCTCAAATTCAGATTTCAAGTAGATTATGGTTTCTCTTAAAAAACGTAGGGGCACAGTTCATCATTCTTATATCTCTTCCCAATCAAGTATTCACTTAGGCGGACATACCACATCCGCTTAGATTGTTTTAAGTTATAAAGTGAGCGTTTCAATTTTATTGCAAACATACTCCATGGTCTAGAGTTAATTCATTTGGATAATGTAAATCCATCAAGCACTTCAATACATCTCTGAATCTAGATCCCCATAGAGATATGTAATAACCACATCTATGAGCTGCATTTCAAGTCCTTTGGAAACTACTAAGTTAATTAATTAGCAGAATGTTATACCGTTCATCTTCAATCCAGGGCGTGTGAGAAATCTTGCGCCAAAGGAAAGCCTTATTATACATTATGACTTAATTAGTCTCATTACGCTTTTTGACAAATGATTTATCTTTGTCCTACATGCTTTACACTTAGTGGGTTAGCACTAACAGACAAAATACCTATTCATTTGTCAAATAATATAATTCTCCTGGATTGCGTCTTTTCATTCAGGTCAAATTGCTCTTTGTTGACATTCTTCAATTGAGCATGGTTCGATGTCATCGTGCTCTATCATCTCATGAGCAACAATATATGGGAATATATCATCAATGATATATGATTTGTCCATCGACTCATATGCATTCTCATAATTCATTTGAGATTTCTTTGATCTCTGAAGTCAGTATTAACTTCGAAGCGTCCTCCAGTAATGATTCATAGACATAGTTTTAATCATAGACAATCTCATGAGAGGTTTATGTATTGATGATAAATGGTTATGCCTTACTCTTCTCTTTCTTTAGGTGAGTATCTATCGAAAGCTTCCCCTATTTCCTTTTGGGAGCCATGACCTCAATCACACCTCCACCATGTGTGATTGCAACGTGCTTTCCAGTGGCGGTGTGCCCTTGTTTGGGGACGTTTAACCCTAAACTATCAGGCTTAAATCCAGTTACCAACCGGTACACATGAGATTGGTGGGTCTAAAAACGTATAAGTAAAGCTGCATGTAATATTGCATAACCCCACAGATGTAAGTAAATTGGTGCCCATCTATATCCTTTTGATGACAACTTCCACAAGACCATTTTTATGTATACACATAGGGGTATAAGATGTAATAGATCAATTTCAATACATATGCAATAATCATCAAATTATTATGATGTAAATTCTCCAGCATTCCAAGTCATGTAGACTTGATGAGATAATCAGGGTGGTGAGGCCTTAAACGCATAGCTAGTGCTAGGAGTGCAACATTTCATGTGGACAATAATATGACATGCATTCATCGTGTCGAAACCAAAACCATAAAGTACTTCAATGGTCTGCATTCTAGATGTTTGTCCATAAATATCACCTTGTATTCATTGTAAGAATGGAATATTTTTGTATTATATTCTTAGCTTTTAGGATGGTCTCATTCATGTCTTGGCTAAGGATCAGGGTTTACAAAAGTTTTAGGTATTGGAGAGGGCATATTATGATGGTGATGTTGCTTCTTGTGCTGTAGAAGAAGTTGCAATTTTGTTAATTGCCTCATTTTGCATTTCACTCGAAAGAGAATGTGTCGATGTGTATTTTGCAACATATGGATCATTATGTCATATGACCATGATGTCCCAGGTGGTCATATTGAAACATGTATGTGTTATTGTCTCAAAGTCCTTTATTGGCGACAAATTATGATTCAATGACCTAAATAATCCACTAGTTTGACACATTTATTCCTCTAATATATGTTCCTTTTCATATCATTAGAGTTAATATACATATACTCATTTCCATTCTCATAATACCAATTGATACAAATATCTTAACAAGGTTCCTGTTAGTGTAGTGTTTTAGTGAATATTAATCTTGTACCAACAAGAAAGAGACCATCCATCATCAAAATATTTGGTTGGAGGAATTATAGATAGTTAATTCAATGAATAATAGTTTATTTTCTTAGAATTGTGTGGGAGGTCCCACAAAGAAAATACTATAGTTATCCTCGATACATTCTTATATGAAACGAAGAATATTGAGGATTTTGTATTTGTTTTGACGTATTCCTTTACATCTACAATAGTTATGCAGGTTTATATATGCAAGTGAAATTAATTTGACAGGTAAGATAAATTTCAATATACTCAACAAATCTTTACATATGATATACTTCATTTTCAACTTTTTCTCTTTTCGAAATGAGCAGTAATTGATGTATTTTGATGTTGTTATCAATTGGGCAATAGTTGCATCTCTGATCCAAGGATTGGAAAATTCTTCCCAACTATTGCCATGACCTCGACTCTTGCAACAGTCTCGTCCATGTGATACATAGATGCCACGTGTGAGTAATTGTCTTTAACTTACGATTCTTTGGAGTTGTTTCCACCTAACACTTTTAGTATTGACATCGGGAATTTTCTTTGTCCCAACATGTCTAGTGTTGTAATCCAAAGGAACCTTGTTCTGTCTCTCAACCACTTGCAATAGGTCGATGAGTTTGTCTAAAGGTTATATTCCAACTTATACTAGTTCATTAGTATGATTGTTGATATATGAAAGATGAGAATGATGTTATGAATCATGTCATCTTTTGTAAGTTCCTTGCCACGAAGGTTGAGATGCATTTTGAGACACAACATTTCTTTGTTGAAATCAGTCACCTTCTAGTAATCGAGTGGGTTTCACTTCACTATATGATTAGTTTGGTAAGTATATGGTAATAAATATTCCCGATTTTCTTTGTGGGGAGTCCCACTGTTCTTGGGGGTTTCTAGTTAACAGTATTCTCTCTGGAGGTTGTGACTGATGTGTTGTCTCAAAATTTTACTTGTACCTTAACAGTCAGTTTTTAGGGTCAATAAGATTTGATGGTTTTTACATATTTGCTCTTGTTTTCCTTAACATATCTTATGGTCATAATAATGGCAAATATATGATTTTCTTTAAGACAATGAATTATGGTTCATAATTATTAGTTTATGCATGAAATTTCATTATCATAACAATATTTGATTTTTGCATGTTTGTAGATTTTTGTTGATAATACTTTATCAGTATTTTAATTTTAGAAAATAAATCACCCAATCTATTAGATTTCCGGGTAGTAGGGAATCACATGGATTATTTAAGTCCCTACAAACCTTAGGACTACTTACACCCGTTTGACAAAATCCTTTCGATATCTTGTGATTAATCATTTATAAAATATATAATGTTAATGATTTTAGCATGAGGCCAAGAGATGAGATCAAATGCGGATAATTTAATAACATAATGGCATTTTTGGAGCTTTTGGCAAGAAGCCAAAAGGATTATCAGTTTGGCATATGAAGCCAACTACAATGTTTTAATACATTAATGGGATTTTGAGAGATTTTGTCATCAGGCCAAATAAGTATTGGTTTTGGCATAAAGTCGAATTTAACTTTTTGGTAGAAGACCAAAATATATGGGGGTTGGAAGTATAACTTCCGAAAATTGTTTATAAAATAAAAAATTATGAGTAGGAACTCATAATCAAAATGAACATTTAAATATTATGAATATTCATAGAATATGATCATTATGGTACTTACCAAAAACTAAACAATTTCATAAAAGAAAATAAACAACTCTAACTTGATAAGTAATTAGGTATTGGATTTACAACAAATTAATAGAATATAAGATAATTATTCATATTAATAATCGAATAGGAAAATAGTATCAATAAAATAATTAATTAACTTAATAATTAAATAAAAACAATTTAACCACTCAATGCATATCATAAGCCAACAACAATAGTGGTTGTACATAATTTTTATTTTGGATAAATATTATCTGATTATGGTTTTGGAAACTATAATTGTCCTTAATTAAGCAATTTCTAAGTAGTTATAACAATGTAATCATTTTTTCAAATACCATTTTCTTAGGGACTAGACATGTGATTTTTCATCTTTTTCTTTATTAATTTACTCTAAATCCAATGGATATAATTGTAACAATGGTAATAATTATAGTAAAAAAAAGGATAATAATAATAATAATAATAATAATACAATCATGTATATACCCACTAAATAGTAATATCAACCCATATAAAAATAATTTTGTTTTTTCATTTGATTTTTGCCCCCCCCCCCCCCCCCAAAAAAATATGAAGCGGTGAATACCATCACCAACAATAGAAAAACAAATCAAAAAAATTGATCACAAATTGATCACGCAATTCTTCAAAGAAAGTAAACCTCATAATTAATTTTTTCCCACATAAGCAACCATTTATTAAAAAAAACTCAATATCATATCATGAATTCACAAGTTGTGTCATCAAACATTAGGCCACATATTTCATTTATCATATAATTAATGAACATAAGATTAAATAATTAAAGTTACCTCAAATCAATGTGTTATGTCTATGGATCTAACTTGCTTCAATATAAAAATGCTTACTTGAATTACAGTAGTTGTAGAAGAATTGATTGATGAAGTGGCAGATAAGCAACGAGCAACTTGCTGACAACGTGTTAAAGGAAAAACAAATAGAACAAAAATAAAATAGAGAGAATGAAATATGTAAATCTCATTAATCATAGACCCTTTATATAGGGATGAGTTACAAGTAGATAACTATGAGAGATATCAGTTCTAATCTATCTCTAATATGTTTATCTCTATTTATATCTCTATCTCTATCGTCATATCTTTTAGACGATGGCACATTTATCCTACATCAGTTTTCTATTTATTTTTCGATGCTATAATGATATTAAAAAAATTATATTCATATTAGAAGAAGAAAATCGTATATATTAATTAGTATTATATAAGAAGTCTTTGATCAAATATTCAAAATAGAACTTGGAAGGGTTCTAGAACTTCGTTTTAACCGTGAGCCGATGATGTGTGTGAATCAATGAAACTGTGAGTGATCTGATTAGGTAAATATGTAAGTGTAAAATCTGAAGTTAAGAGTGTAAAAACACAAAGCTAAAAAGAATTTAAAAAAATAATTATTTTTGAAAAAATCATGCACTGTAAAAAGGAATGCTGCAGCGCGCCATGGTGCGCCTCAGCCATGGCATGAGTTGCGTCTTACACAAATGCTCTAGGACTTACCGTAACGGCGGAGACGCATAAGACATCATGACGCACCATGACAGACTTTAGAACCTTGATCAAGCGTAATACATCCAAGGCTTCTAATTTAATGCAATTCTATCTTCTTAGACTCATTCTTTAGTTGGAGCTCATATGTAGCCGTTCTGCATACGATGGAAAGGAGAGATAATCTTCAAAAATTAAATATGAATTTCAAGAGGCAGCACTTTATATATGACTTTAGGTATTGAATTTTCAAAAAGGTAATTTCATGTACAGCAGCATCTCCCCAGCCTCAGATTAGATGAAGTCCTGACTCCTTGCTTACAAATAGGTTTCCAATCTTATGATATTGCTCCTATAGCTGTAAAACAAATATGTGGATCATCATCAAAAGCTGTTATCATAATGAAAACTCAAATTGTTACAAGTATGGATATAGTTTCCATCTTTGATGCATAAATAATTGAAAACGTTTTCTATGCTACCAAGTTATGTGTGCTTATGGACAATGTTCTCCTTCCAGAAGCATATGCATCTTAAGTTTCTCCCAACTTTTTCATCTTTCATTAGAGTTTTCTGATCCCTATGACTTGCTCCTCTTGCTTTTTGGGCCTCTAGTCTACCAATCTTACGTTTTGTACATTGTGTTTGCAGTTCACCAACTGATGCTGAACCTGTAGGTATGGGGCGCACTCTGACACCTATTGCAGCATGCAAAGAGGACTTTTCACGGATCAAGTTGACATCATTTTCCAAATTAATAGAACGGACTAGTGGTGCAATAAAGAATGTAAGGCTTTGTAGCGAACCGGATCACAAACCTGGCAATTCTGGAATGGCACCTGATGCTGTGTAAGTATCTCCTAAAACTTTGCTTGCTTTTTGTATTATCTAGGATTTCTAGAATTGATTTGCTACTGAGTGAATGCATTTCATACATGATGCACAAGATGGGCTAGTAAGCAAAAAACAATGAAATAGTGTTAATGAAACACGATCCTATACACATAGCATAACAAAAACCCAACTATTAGCAATCCTCAACTTGGGGCTGAGGACGGGGAAGGATCATTCAACCTTGAACGACTCCCTTATTAGGTTTTGGAATGGTAAAGATATCCCCTATTGCTTCTTTAGCAAAGGTGAGGATAAATGATCTTGCCACTTGATTATAGACTCTTTATGTTTCATACTTTCATTAACCTTGCTATGCAACAAATGGGTGGCTGGACAACAGAATGTCTATCTATAGAACTTAAGATGCATCGAAAACCATTCTGTTCTACCAGCATCATGTTACTTTTTAATGTTGTCCAACTATTATACCCACAGGCTCCAATCGGTATAGATCAAACCATCTTCATTGATGCATAAGCATCAGGGCCTTGTCATCAGCCACTCCATATTTGTATGACCGTCACAAAATCTCATGTGCATGTGTATACTTTTCTTTTTGGTTTGCTTTCACTCTAAACTAGTAAAATAATTTATTTTTCTAATTATGTGACACTTCAGTTGCTATTGTTCATTTGTTTGTGGTTGGTCAATTATGAAAGACTATACCTTCTGTTTATAAACTTGGTTAGTGTTTTTTTTGTTGCGAACTTCCTATCTTAGTGTCGCTTTAGAAAGAGTCGTTATGATGTACATGCGTTCTCTGTCATCCTTGTTTTGGAAAGTGGAATGCATCTTGCCGTGGGCCATAAATGGATCACTTTCAAGTCGTGCCATGCTTGGTCATACATCATTAAACTCCTGCTATAGTTGATTATATGAGCAGCTTGATCAATATGTATGCCACAAACGTGAACTGTAGGTTAATAGGAAATCTAATCTCACACCTCTAAATTTTGAGTCAAGTATTATTACAAATGGTGATTGGAGTTCATACTTTTGATTATGGTTTGTGTTTCCACAAAGGTTGTGGATCTATAGGGATATTTGAAGATGTGGACAGTGAATTCTGATGGGTGGATCCAGTCTAAGGTTTAATATTTATGTGATCAACTCATTAAGTTTCTGAAGCAAGTATACTTTACATGTTAAAGCACCTTAGTAAAAGCAGCATCTGAGCTTTCTTCCTGAATTGTACTCTACCTTTCTGATGTTCCTCTTCCATGTAGTTCCATAACTAGCCATGCATGTATACATGAAAAACTCCCATTACAATAAATCTGACTTTGGTTGTTTTTGTCGTTTTCATTGCTTCAAATAGAAATCTAATGAATTGCTTTATGCAGCTAGCTTTGCCACTTGCATTGGCATTTTATATTCATTTACTAAACCATGGTAGGTAATTGCAGAGAAATACAACTTAGAAGCCCAAACTGGCTTTTTGGCCACAAGAAGTTTGAAGAAAGTAATTCTATACCCAAAGTTGCAGCAGATGAACTGGCCATCAGAGGACGTGAAGATGAGAAGAAATTTGATGACTTATGTGACCCCAATTGGATTTCTTCGGCTATTGACACTAATGAAGAGGATGTATTTCGAAGGTATTCATGTTTCACTCTCCTATAGGTCTAACATCTTCAATTTATCTTAATTCATAGTTTTTGTTCTCTGTACTTTTTATCAATGAAACTTGGTTTATTTTCATCAAACATATAGCTGCTAGTTTCAGCAGGTGAGCTCCCTTGTGTGGAAGTGGAATTAGGAGAAGAGACGTCATCTTTTGCATCGTAAATCTCTTTAGACAATTTCAATCTCCTTTTGTAATAATGTGTCATGTCTTGTGTTTATTGTAGATATCTTGCAATGACTTCAATAGATGAAGCGAATGGATGGTATGGAGGTACATTGCTTGCTGAGCAAGATGAAACCAGTGAGGTATATAGACATTATGCTCAGTTTTGTCAGGTAAATATTTTTTACCTTTCTACTTCCTCATGGTAAAATTCTTTTGTCAAGAAATTATGCTGGTACCTATCAATAAACCCCTAACATTAGGTCAGTCTTGCATACTTACATTCATGTTGATACTAAGTTAACCTGATCAGTCACATAATACTGGATTGATGTTCAAGATTTTATTAGTGTTATGATTTTAGAGGCTTCCTTTTATTCACAAGTTGAGTTTTCTTTGGCTGCGTTTGGTACATTAAACTGGATAAAACTCACTGTCCCACGTTTGACATGACATGGGACATGACAAAAATTCACTGTTCCACCTTTGGTGGGAGTGGGACAAAAAAGGCTTTGGGAACCAAAAGTTGCCTTACATGGAGGCTCCATTGTTAGTGGTTTTGGCAGATCTTAGGGTGTATAATGGAAGTCGTTTAAAAAATAAATATAACCCGTCCCCAAACTCTGTGTCCCATCCGTGTCGCACCAATCATGTGAAGACATAATTACTTTATCTAGTATACGTTTATTTAATTCATCTTTTTAATCTCTCTCTTCCATAAACTAACCATGTGTCTTCACATGATTGGTGGACACGGACGGGACATGGAGTTTGGCGACAAGCGATTTTATTAGTTATTTTATGTGATGTTAGCTTTTTGTTGAGCAAGAAAAATATTTATGGTATGAGGAAGTTAAAAGGAGAGAGGCTAAGTGACTACACAAATAACATATTTTGCCTGTTAGAAATTCATACACCCTGTTAACAGCAAATCTCGAACCACGACCACGGGGTCCAAGAGACTTGATAATATTTCCTTCTATATTACTCCTTCCGTCCCATAATAAATGTTCACAATGAAAAAGACACGGTTTTAGAAATGCGTAATTATTATACTTTTTAACTAACTAAATGACAATTTTACCCTCAGAAGGAGTAACAATTTGTCCATCCGATAATTAATGGTAGAATTGGAAAGTAGACATCTACTTTTGAAAGTAGAAATGTAGACACTTATTTTGAGATGAAGGTAGTAACATTTAAGCTAAAATTACCTATTTGTCCGTTGTAATCATTAGTAATGATCCGACCCATGAGATTCCCTTATTTTATACCGTTGAAGAGTATTTTAGATATTTAACTATAATAGCAACAACTTTACCGAACTTTTTAATTTTATTTGGATGGATTTAATCTAATAATTTATGGTATGATTTGATATTGCAACAAACAGAGCCCTGTGATGGAACCGTTTCAAAACGACAGTGATAAAGAGAAGCATTATGGTGAGGTTCTTCATTCGGTAGCAGTAGAATCCATGGAGGATGGGAGTGTGGAAGCGGAGATGGAAGCAGCGGTGATGGAGTACGAACTCATTGGAGCGGATCTCGGGATTTGTCCCAAAACATTCACCGCTTTGGCCATCGACCCAACTCACTTGACAAGGTGGATGATCGGAGAACGACAGGCTGCTGCTGCTTAATGAGGTTTAAACCACCATTTTCTTCCTTCTTCCACAATTGAAGAAAAAACTTTATAAACAACAGTTGACCATTCTGTACATAGTTGACTTTGTAAAGCATCATGATTTTGATTAATGAATGTATATGGTGAATGATTGTTTATAAAGATGGTTTTCCACTTTTGGAGAGTGATTTGGATACGTATTTGGTTTAACCATTAATTCATTAAGAAAACTTGCAATAAAATAGAACTAAATTTGATTTGATTCAAGTCAACTATCGAAAATCTCATTTTAAAAAAAGGAGAGTTAAATGGGAAGCATGAGAGGGGATCTAAACCTTGATCATCTTTAATCTCAAACCCACCTATAAACTACACTTGATGTGGGGTTTGATCTGATGCATCTCATCCTAGTATGCATCCAAGGGTGGATATCTTTATGCTTCTCACCTTAACTCTCATTCTTACCAGAACCTAACCCATTTGTTTCTTTCAAAATAAGAATGATAAAACAAAATTGGTTTTATTTAGATTTTCAAAATAAGAATTTTAAAGGTTGATTTTTCATAATGATTTTAGAAGTTTTGTTTCATAAAAAAAAGTTTCATTTGAATGTAATTACACAAATAAATCTTTGTGGAACAACAAAAGATCTAAGTATGATGTATGATGTATGATGTATGATGTATGATGTATGGTGTATGGAGATGGGCAACTTTGAACCATAAGTTCATTATCCACTTTCATGTCAATGGTATTTAAAACCAAATAATTCATCAACTTTTTTCACATAAAATAAAATAAGCAAGAAAATGGGTTCTCATGGCCTGTTTTTCCATTGTTCACAAATTTATCCCCAACCAAAATTCAATCCTGCTTCCATTAATCTTCAAAGGGGAAGCAGCATAACATCTCATGCTTCCAAATCCAATGGTTTTCCACTTAACTCTGTAAGTTATAGAAAATCCGTTATCTTTTAATTTTTATTCCAATAATTAAAAACTTCTGTTTTGAACCACAAACTGTTTGATTGGTTTGAGCTTGAACTCCGAATATCAAAAGTGTCTGGAGGTTCTAGGTTCAAATCCAAGAAGGAACAAAAATCTCCTTGTGACCACGGAGGTTTAAATGTTATGACTCCGGACTACCCCGCAAAGTAGGTAGGCGTCCGAAGAACCCATAGCGGATTGGATATCCAGATTAATAAAAAATGTAATACTGTGTTTGAAGTGATCATGTGACCAAATTTATATTCTTTAAAAATGAATGAAATTGATAATTTGGTTCCATTTTAAATGAAGATTTTGATCCATGATTGACGTTAAATTTTTGGGTTTGGAATATTTTGCAGATTTTCAAGAAATGTGAAACATGTGGTGGGCAAGGTGCCATAGACTGTGGTGGATGCAAGGTCTCTTTCTTTATCTCCATATTATTATAAATAGAATATTATTTGCATATTTCAATATACAAAAAATATTACAGTTTTTTTTTAACCATAAAAATGGTGTCTGATTGGTTTGAGCATGAGCTCCAAAGGTCAAGAGTACCTGAAGGTCTCATGTTCAAATTCAAGAAGGAATAAAAATTCCCTTGTGGCCACAGAGGTTCAAATGCGATGACTCTGGGCTACCTGCAAAGCAAAGCAGGTGGTCGTTCTGGGATTAGTCGGCTCGCATAACAGGTTGGATATCCAGCTTGATCAAAAAAAATATTACAGTTTCAATTAAAGAAAAACTTGAAATATTCAAAACAATCACTCTTTTGGCAAATTAAGTGAGGTGGACAAGGGCCGACACTAACCCAAGCAGTAAGACAAGAAATCTCGACTCCTCACATGCGATCAAAAGCGGGTTTCAACAAGTCTTTCTAATTGAGAGTTCAAARGGCAGAAATCTTAGAACCTTCACCTTGGACGGCAGTTCACTAGCTTAGTGTCAGCCCCAGGCCAGGGATCACAGTCGAGATCAGCTTTGGTGGCTTCAACTATAACCCCAGCTCTCTTTATTAACTTAAAAAAACGAAAATATTCGTTTCTTATTACTTTTAAAAACTTCATTTTGAATCTCAAACGAAAAAAAATTAATTATAATTTCCTAAGAAGTTGTTATATTTACTGATAGATCTGATTTTGTACTTATAAAGTTATATTGTGTTCCCTCTGATTGCACAGACACGCAATATGTTTCCTTCATTGTGTCAAAGAAATAACCGTTTTTCAAAATTACGTTTGGGAAGTAGTTAGGAACCAAGTATTAAAAAAAACGTATTAATCGTTAAGATTATTTTTCATTAAAAATGCTTAATAAGGATGAGTCGTGTTTTCTTGTAACAGGGAACGGGAAAAAACAAGAAGAATGGGAATATATTTGAGCGTTGGAAGTGAGTTAATATGCGCTTATTTTTCTCTTGTTTTATATTACAATATTCAATATGCCACGCATATTATTTTGAGGTTTATCGTTATAGTACCATCATCATAGATACTATGGTTTGATTATCATGGTTATATATATATATATATATATATATATATATATATATATATATATATATATATATATATATATAAAAGGGAGAATTGAGTTGTTTGTGGTAACTGTGAGAACCAATATTAACCACAAATCAATAGATAAATTAGAAAATTTATAAATTTGGTAATTTTAAATTAAAATCTTAATGCAAGGATATTTTTGGTATTTTAAAACTCTCCTATCTCCTCTCTTCTCTCTCCGGCCACCGTTCTCCGGCCTCCGGCCACCGTTCTCCGGCCTCCGGCCACCGTCCTCCGGTGATACCACTATGATACCTAAAAATAATTTTTTTTTAAACAAAAGATACATTGTGATACCTAATCATATATAAGATGCATAGTGATACCACTGTGTTACATCTTCGATCGACCACACAAACGACATCAATGTGATACCCAAGAACATATATGATGCATTGTGATACCATTGTAGTATCACCGGAGGATGATGGCCGGCGGACGGTAGCCGGCGGATGGCGGCCGGAGGACGGTGGCCGGAGAGAGAAGAAAGGAGGGAGAAAAGTTGTAAAATACCAAAAATATCCTTGCATTAAAATTTTAATTCAAAATTAAAATTGCCAAAATTATAAATTTCCTAATTTATCTATTGATTTGTGGTTAATATTGGTTCTCACAGTTACCACAAACTAATTAGTTCTCATTTGATTAGGCCCCTATATATATATATATGTATGTATATATATGTATGTATATATATATATATATATATATATATATATATGTGTGTGTGTAAGTGTGTGTGAGAGAGATAATATTAAAATCAAACTGTTTTTTCTTCTAATAAAATCTTAATTATTTGATACAGATGTTATGATTGTCAAGGTTTTGGGCTAAGGAGTTGCCCAAGTTGCGGGAAAGGAGGGTTGACACCAGAACAAAGAGGAGAACGATGATCACTTGTATCTATATTTTTCTGTTTTCGTGTTCACGTATACAAACTCTTTTTAACTTCAGCCATTTATAAGTTACGAAAACGATTAAACTATAACTAATGACTACAAAAAATAAAAGGTGTAAAATGTATATGAAGATCCCAACATAACATATAAGCAACTTTTTTTTTATTAACTTGGATATTTAACCCGTTATGCGAACCGATTAATTCAAGGTGATCACCTGCTTTGTGGGTAACTCGGAGTCACCGCATTTGAACCTCTGTGACCACAAGAGAATTTTTATTTCTCATTGGATTTGAACTTGTGCACTTTTGACTTTTGAAGTCATAGCTCAAACCAATATAGACGATGAATGACATTTAACAATACATTACCGCCACCAAAGTGATTAAAATTGGCTAATTCTACCAAATCGGCCTGGCCCAGCCCGGGACCGGAACCGGTAAGGACAGGTTATGGGACCGAAAACCAGGACCGGTTAGGGTTTTTGGTAGTTTCTTGGGACCGGGACCAGCTATGGACCGGCCCGGCCCGGCCCGAAAATTCAAATAATTTATAAATAAATGTATTTTCTTGGCCCGGGACCGGTTTTTGGCCATCACTAGATGACACTGATATGATAACCAATGCCATGTTTATCGCGACATGTTACGTTTAGTATAATAGATCGGTATCATCTGCATGGATTATGTCTCTATACATAATAGACTACATACGCTACTCATTATGTAAAGCCTTCCTGTATTAATACTTGAACAAGATTTAATCCTATGAGATAATTTAGTGGGATAGTTTCAAAAATATTTATCCATGCTTGAATTACTTGAACAATATTTTAAGTAATTTCAAGATGATTTAGCAATCTAATAGCAAATGCCTTCAAGAAGATAGCAATATCGATTTGATCTTGGCTCGTCTCAAAAAGATTTGGTAGTGAGTGACGAGATCTTTTTTTGGTAATAATAGGTGTCTAGACTAGCTTGCGCACATCTCGACTAATCCCATGAGACCCTGGTTCAGATAACAGTCAAGAAAATCCCCAATGACCTTGAAAAGACTTGAAATGATGACTTATAGAGATAAGAGAAGTCCCATGGACTAGCATTGGTCACTTAGGGTCTCTCGATGTGGTTGTAAATATTGGTAGGCCCTGTAGGGTTTTCATCTTTTCTGGTCGAAAATGTGAAAGACGTCATTATCACCGGTTTCAATTCAAAAAAGTCGGGCTTTATATGGGCTTGAAAAACATACTTCGTTTGATTGGGCTTTTTAGCCTGGCGTTCGGCTTACTAGGACCAGGCTTTTTCAGGCAGGGTTTGGACCGATGCTTTTTGGTGCATCTCTACTTATAACTCATGTTTCAATCACTATTTACCCATGAACCCTGCATTTCAGGCCAAAATGTAACATTCCCCCACACATTTTGCATAATGGGCTAAACATAACATCATGCCATAACAATGGCAAAATGGTCCAGATATGAAGTAAATTGGCAAAAACTTCTTTCATTTGATAATAGCTTTTTCCTATTAAGCATCATAACAATTATAAACCATTTCAATGGAAATAATGCAGTTGAGAAAGAGGCTAAAAAGAAACTGGAATGCAGCCTGCTTGAAAATTTAATATAGTGTAAATAATAATACAACAATTGTACCATTTTTCACAGGTCTCTCCACATCTCAAAATATATATCTCTGAAGCTAGCAGTGTGGTCTAAATGTATAGTTTTCAGATAAGTTTCTTCTTGTGGAAAAATCGTTTCAAGTACCATACCTGCAAAACCGCAACCCCAATGCAGACGCCGAGAGACATGATGCTAAACCACGCCACCCTTCCATTCGTTTTTTCGCTCACTTCCCTCATCTCTGCTTCCCTGTGTGTTTCCACATACCACAGTAAAAAAACATAAAACTTTCTCCGAAACTCTTCAAATTTGGAGAACCCTAAAATTAAATGTTTAGCAGAGAAATATTTTTTTATTCGATGTATTGAATGTTTCAATAATATAATTAATGCTGGAATTTCCAAATGGAAAAGCTGTTGGATTTAAATGTAATGACTGTTGGAGATGTTCTCACCTTTAAAAGTATCATTTTGGCTGGTTATAAAAAAAATTCATGACCATATTAAATGGTTATAAGAAGGCAATTACAATTTAAAAAGATTTAATTCAAAAAATGAAAACAATCAATGGGAAATTTTTTAGCTTTTGATTTCTAAAATCAAAAGTGAACTCTAGTTCGAGACGGTAACAGAAGAAACAATTCTGTGAAAAGAGCAACAAAAAAATATTCTAGAAATAAATACAAACTTACTTGTTCTTCAAATAAATCAAATTCTCATGAATGGCTTCCACAGCACCTTCAAGCTTTCTCAATTCGAATTCAACACCCTACAGAGAAGTATCAGGTGTAAATAACGGCAGCATACTTACAATTAACATTGAAACAGACAAATATAGTTACCTCGATCTTTTCTTTCTTTGCAACAGACTCCCAATCCTTTGCAGCAATACCAATTCGCCAGTCGAGACTAACTGTTAGACCCTTACCACCTGGATGATTCCCGTCGACCCAGAAACAGGCCAAGTAGTTGCCGGATTCGGTACTTGTAAATGCAAATTGACCATGAGTCATATTCTCTTGGTGATGGAGATTGTTTCCATATGGCGAGGTTACCTTTGAAAATTTAACACTTGGTTCATTCACAAGTGTCTTGATACGATAAGTTTCAAAAAAAAAAAAAATTTACCACATCCATGCATTATATATTTCTGGAAAACAATTAATATGTATGGGAAATCCAATTCCATGGTTGAAACAAACGATTTAAATCAACCCCAAACGCGCTTTAAACCTCAAATCTCATGCTCCTAAACTATAACATGAGGTAATTATGTGCAGGGTATGTAAGTCAATATGCTATTGCTAAATAAAGCCAAAAGCACATTTCTTAACCACAAAAAATGATGTCACTTCCCAGTTTCAGATTTAATAAAGATTTCTTTTACTTTCGATCGCCAAAATGTTTCTATTCTTATCTAGAATGAATCTCTTTTGTTTTTTCTATTTGTTCTTTAAAATCTATGTGAGAAACCTTAAGATCAGAAAACCCTCCCTGATTAGCAACTAATTCCTTAGTTAGGGTTCCAAGGTTAAGCAGGATTAAAGTGGGTAGAGTAATAAATTAGGCGATGCGGAATTGTTAGCCTATCTAACAAAATAAGTTCAGCCCAACAGAATACATTTCAACCCCAAAAAAATGTCGGCTTCTATATTTTCGTGGTAGAGACTAATTCAAAGCAATCATGTATAGCTATATGGACATATGTGAAGAAATGCAGATAAAAAGGCTAATGAATGAGTTAAGGGCAGAATGTCCCAAGTCAATCATAATGTACACCGACAATGAAGCTGCTATAAAGATCGCCAAAAATCCGGTCCATCATGATAGGAGTAGGACCGAACATGTTGAGATAGACCGACATTTCATATATGAAAAACTGAACTTAAAAGTCATTCAACTCAACTTCATCCCTACAAAAAAGGTGATTGCTGACATCCTAACAAAGGCACTTCCTAGAACATGCTTTGAAGAATTCAATTCCAAGCTGGCTTTGCGCAACATCTACAACTCAGCTTGAGGGGGAGTGGAGATACCGATTTATTTGTAAAATATTTACTAGTGATACTGTATCTTTTCCTTAGAGTTTTTATTATTCTCTAGGATTCCTTCGATTGAGTTTCTTTGTTGTAGTCGGTTTAGGTTTTCCCTTTTCCTGTATAAATACCTCTGTTGTATTCTCTTTCAATATACGAAAATTTCAGCCCTCAATTTCTACAAAAACCAATTAAGGTGACCTTCACCTTGTAATTATTGTGTTGATCTAATATAAAATCAAAATGTGGCACTCCGGAAATCGAAATTCATGGTCATTAGAATTGCCTAATTTTTGGAATGTGGAGGGGAATTTTTTTGAATCAAGAAACCAAGAACTCCGAAAGTGTTGACTGACAATTTTGCTCCCAATATTTTAATCTTCATGTGTTTGCATAATATATGTTAGGAGACCTTGTAGATTAAATTTGTTGGTTATTAACATTTATTACTTACTCTAGGATTTATGATTTATCTTATCTGATGCTCTATGACATGTCTTGTAAGGCATTTTACAAATATGGGAATTCTCAAATGAAATTGATGTAACAAAATATTCAAATTGTTGATCATTACGATATAAAAGTAACTATATTTTACATATTCGAACGAACTACAAAAGTTTGTGTTTGATCCCTACTTAAGCCATTAAAATGTTAGAAGAGTTCTGGTGTGGTCTCACTTATTGAATCTCTTGTTTCAGTTAATGACTATGCAGCTTAGGTGATTCATACTTTATACTGTCGTAGACTTGTAGTATGCATCGATTTTTTTAATATTAATAAATTTTCTTGATTGTTCAAAAAAAGTGCTAGAAGGCCACTCGACCACCTACCTTTGTTTTTACACTTTCTAGAACACTGCTACTTACATCTAAAATATCTAGAGATTGCACAAAAGAACCAAACCAATGAAACGGGCCGACTGGGCCAGGTTAGGGAACAGAGCCCAGTTAGAACCAAGCTTGAGACCCATTACAATAAGGACCAAGCCTAACGCCATTTTATAATTGAAAGTGATACGGTGTTTTGAAATATAACCAGCTTGGGCGTTAGCTGACCATCTTGGTAACCAGGCTTCGGCTCAATCAAAGCCAACCTTTGGTCCTAACCGGGCCTGGCTGACTCCAGGTCCTAAACGGGCTTATATCAGAAATTGAGGACTGATTTAAGAACCAACGGTCCTAACCAGGGTAAATCGGCCCAGGCTTGTTAGACCAGTCCCCAAATTTGGTCCTTTTGGGCATCTCTATATGCGATACACAAAATACTTAAAGGCCATTCAAGTTGCTCCCTACAGTGTGAGAATTAGGCTTCAACATTTTCCAACAAATTAGATTGTCCCATATATAGATAGGTGGCATTGAGGTTTCCCACTTAATAAATATGTCTAAGGAAGAAATTTGTCAAAACAGCACATGGGGTCCACTAGGTGGAGCTTTGGCAACCAGTTGGGTAAGGCTTCTCATAACTCATAAGCACTATTTTTGTCGGATGCTGCAAGTAATATTTTCCCATCATACACACTTCCACATCGACGGACTTGGTCGGCCAGTGGGATACTGCAGTTACCCAAAAAAGATACACACAAATATACATAAAATGCAAATGTACACACACACACACACACACACACACATATATATATATATATATGTAATATTAAAAAAGAGCTATAGTACCTATACTAAATTCCACTAGCAGATTGTTGGGTGACCACGATAAACGTTATCATAAATGTTATCTGCAACATGCTTAATTATTAATGTTCAATAAGATATTTTTATGGTATTAATCATTAAATGAAATAAGATCTTGACTAACATTAAATCCACAAGAATAGTGTTCAAGGTGAAACATCACGTCCATCATAAGAACTTTAATAATTGTTCCTCCGCCCCCCATTAGAAAGATCTTCCTTAACTGATAAGTTCGATTATTCACTAATTCTAGTGTTCAACTATATATAAGTTATCTATATACGTGACTGCTTACCCCTAGCTAATGACCAAAGCTTTAGTCCACCTAAAATTTATATATATTTCATATCTTCTCAATTTTCCTATTACAAGATTACCCCATTTCCATAATAATAATCCAGTTTTTGATTTGTAAATACAAAGTTGAAACACAATAATGTTCACTTGAAATGTACATTGACATTACTACTTTTTTTCTTAAAACATTGGTATCAAAACGTTGCTTTTTCTTTAGCTTATATTACCATCAAGTTTTTTCTATAGCTAAAACAAGTTATATCGAAATTGAACTTAAAACTTAACTTAAATGTCTACGAAACCAAAAGCAGGCTCCAACTTTGAGATAAAGGTACATCCTTTGCACTCAAGAATCCTTTAAAGTTCATTTATGCAATTATACTTGCAATGTCCAGGCATAAATTCATATATTGGTGAAGCATCGCAAGAATTAAGAACGGTTGTTACAAATCCCATGCAGAAAAAGAGTTAGAATTCCATGTAACCACACTGAAAATATCTATAGAGATTATACTCCGTATAAGCTAACTATAAAGCAGTCTAATTTAATCCTTCAATAAAAACCAATATCTATTTGTAGAAATGACTATTTTATATAGAGCAAAGTAAACATAGACTAAACTCCTACACCTCAAGCTGGACAATAACCAAATACTTAAACATCAAAAATAATGAACCCAAAACATAATAAGCTCCAAAACTAAAACAAACAGAAATTAACAACAAACTCAAAATCTCCAGCTATGAAGAAGATAACACACACTACATTCTGCCATTATGAAGCTTGCATCATAAACAATGTTGCAATCAACCTCCCCTTTGTTACGGCCTGAAGTTATTTTCTTCATGTCTCTAAGCTTTCCTCTTCATATGCTAAATTTTGATATTTTTATATTAAATCTAGTATTTATCAATCTGAAATTGATATATATATATATATATATATATTAATCATCAACAATTTTCAATTTGTAACACTTTATGAAGCCTAATGTTCTTCGTCAGAATCTTTTTAAAAAGTTCAAAATCTAGGACAAGTCTAACTTAACCATGTATTCGACGTCAAAATTTACCTTGTTCTAGGGAGTAGTATCTTCATTTGGCTCCTTTATGTAAACATCCTGAATTTTAAATCAAGCGTGTGTGGATCCTACTTATATAATCGAAACTAAAACACTCAATGACGGTAAAATTTATTTAAGACTTCTTTGGTTTTCATTATTGTGGATTTGTTGTGGGAACAGATTAGTTTATGCAACCTTCACAGATCTATTCTTTAAATCAATAAAACACATACTAACAAGATAGATCATGATCTCCAGTATCGCTTGCATCCAATTGTCTGGTAGCTGGTTCTTCATACCAATGTTTGACATCATACATAATAAACACATGCCCTTACTTTTTGGGCCAGCTTATGCACACCAACTAATCCCCCTGGCAATCATGAATAGCATGGAGTCATCACGGGTGAACCTCCATTAGAGACATTTGGATGTTGTTTTTCTTAAAATCACTGAGGGCAATGTTCTTTCTTTCCTTCTAATATGGGTATTAAGGGCATTCATTTACTTAGCTTTGACACTTGATTGCTTCAAGCACGCAGTTATTCTAGATATGAAGCTCCCATTATAGCCACGGTTCAATGGACCAACATTTAAGTTGCATTAAGACATATTCTTTTTAATTAAGACCATGAATGGTTTTCCCTTTCAAGCAATTCATAACATGCTCCTGTTATCTTTTTTCGGATCTCTCATCCTCCAAAATTCTTAAAAAGCTTTTGGTTCTTTTCCACCATCCAATGTTCATGTGTTGGCATTGCATCCAAAACCACATACAGATGACCTTTTATGCCACTAATTGCAATCGTTGCACAATATCATCAATAAACCAACATCTTGTTTTGTTCTAATCAAGCTGCAATCAACATTATCCTATTTAGATATGCGTTGATTCAAGTTTTTTTAAGCACTTACTCCTGATAAAAAAAAAATCATATCAACAACAAATACTATAAAGATTTCCTGCTTAGAAATTAGTGCAATTAGCAAGTTAAATCAAATCCACATCAAAATGTTCAGCTTCCATTTGATTCATCCAACTTAACCAGATCAAGATCTGGAAATAACTACTTGACACCGATCATATAAAGTAAAGTAACGCCGAAAAATCGAAGAGCAGATCGATGTTTACCCGAACTGAAATTGTGGGGCCGGGGTGAACAGGGACGTCCTCTTGACCATTGACGAGGGAGTAATCAGCAAGAACAACGACGTTGTTTTGAATATCTTCAGAGACACACTTGGTTCCTGAAGCGGGTAAGTCTAACCAGATAGCTTGCGTTGTACTACTAGTGGTGGCGCACCACCATATCAAAACCACAATCGATCTCCAGCACCACTTCGCCGCCATGAAAACCACTTATAGTTGTAGGTTAATGGGTGTGTTTGAAGAAGAAAGATGAGATCTGAACTTTACCCTTTTGTTGAAGATTCAACTTCTTTTCTTCGTCAGCTAACTTGCCGATTATAGAACTCGCCGCAAGCTTCTCCTTTGTCCCTAAATAAAAATATGGTCTTAATCAATATCTACTAATAGAACTTGTAATAGAACTTTTGTATTTTGTGGAACGTTAAAAAGTATGGTCTTTCTATTACATTTATCAATGGATATGGTGTCGATGGTATTTATATGTATACATATTTGGGATCCGTTGTCGGCTGTTAACTGTCGGCTGTTAACCGATTGGTCGTAGATTCGAATCTATCATCTTTATGTCGAGCTATTTTTCCGCAGGACCTCCCCTATGGTGTAACTGTGATTTACTTGAGATCAATTAAGTCGATAAGGAAAACATACGTTAGTATTAGGTGGTGCGGAGTGTAGACTTACAAAAGTTGCCCCTATCATCTTAGATCGCGAGAAAAGGGGGTCAATGAGGCCATACCCCCTTGCGGGGTCCTAGGGGCAGCACCCTTGGCGGGGTTCCAAGGGGCTGAGCCCCTTGGTGGTGGTCTTAGGAATTTTACTAAATCACAACTCAACAATCAGCTTTAGGTATCAGTTGTTGCTGAACAGCAGCCTTCAGCTTATTGTTAAACATGTCTTCAATGATGAGATGCATCTGTTGGTTCCAAAACTTAAATTCGGTTATGATTACTTTTTAACCTTATCCATTAACAGTTGTAATTGTTCAACCGCCAATAACCGTCGATCTCTCATTTAAATATGTAAAACGAGAATATATATGTCAATTTTCACAGCCTTTGGAAATGAGAAGAGAACTCTATAATTATCCCAATACGAAATTCGTAAACCCAAGGCTAACAGGGTCGAATTATTGTATTCAGAAAGTGTTTTTCGACACGATTATTGAGTTTTATCCAATCCTATACACAATCCTTAACTATATATATTTATACTATATTATAAAGCATTTGACAAAAACTCTTAAAAACCATTTTTATGCATGAAGTACTGTTTATTGATGCATATTATTTAAAATTCAAGATTACAAATAATTTGTGCATAAGTACAACTTATTAAAGCTTCATGTTTGAATTTGTGTAACTAATTGCAGATGAACATAATCAAATAGAGGATAAATATCTCATTTTAAATATAAAAAATATAAAATATAATTAGAATAATCATTGAGTTCTAACAAAATAATTAATTATTATCTTTATAAATAATTATATTAAATATAATTAGAATAACAATTGAGTTCTAACAAAATAATTAATTATTATCTTTATAAATAATTATATTATTAAATAAAAAATAAAAAAATGAATTAAAGAAATATACAAAAAACGGATAAATTTTAAATAGTTAGCCTGATACTAGTATCAATAAATTTTTTTCAATTTTTATGATATCTTCATATTTATATTTTATTCAAAAATAAAAACATTAATGTTCTCTCAAAATCACATAAAACTGTATTATAACATCGACTGAGGCAAAAATAAATAAAAACGAAACACTAAAATCGAGATATATCTCGCTGCATTGTACGAGTACCCTATATATATGTGGATGGGTTCAAACGAGATTGCTAACTATTTAAGAAAATAATAAAAATGTCGTTAATGTACAAAATCATATATGATTCACATACAAAATCATACATGATTCTCACTCACACATAAACACACACACACACACACACACACACACATATATATATATATATATATTCACGTACAAGATCATACAGGTTCAAAAGTCGCATGCTTCCATTTTTTTGACGTTAATGAAAATCACATATGATTTTGTACATTAACGACTTTTTTCTTGTTTTCTTAAATAGTTAGCGTTCACGTTTGAACCTTCCTCTATATATATGTGTTTGTGTATGTGTGTGTATGTATATGTATATATGTATGCACATGTTGACCTTCCCCATCTATCATCTCCTTACCCTATTGTGACCTCCTTTCCCTTCTCTGGTGAACCTCCTGTATGTATGTATGTACGTACGTATGTACGTACGTATGTACGTACGTATGTACGTACGTATGTACGTACGTATGTACGTACGTACGTATGTATGTATGTACGTATGTATGTATGTACGTATGTATGTATGTATGTATGTATGTATGTATGCATGTATGTATGTATGTATGCATGTATATATGTATGTATGTATGTACATACGTATGTATGTGTGTATGTATGTGTGTATGTATGTATGTATGTATGTGTGTATGTATGTATGTATGTATGGATGGATGGATGTATGTATGTATGTATGTATGCATGCATGCATATATATATATGTATGTATGCATGTGTTTATCTTCCTCGTCTACCATTTCCTTACCCCTACTGTACCCCCTTTCCTTTCTCTGGTGATTTCCCTCCTCCCGATTGTCACCCCCTTCCTCCACGGCACAAACATACATCATACACACAAACAACGCACAACATTTTCTCCATGCCTGAAGCACACATACATACAAAGGGACCATGTGCTGAAAATCCCAATTTACATGTTTGTTCCATATCAAAAATCTCATAAAAAAGGGGACCAAGTGTTGAAAAACCTACTAGAAAAAATATTGTATGTGTATATATTTTCACATTTTGAGGTTGTCGGTGATAGAGGTCGACGGTGGGGGAGGCTAATAAAAGGGGATGGGTCAACCATTGTGTATATAAATATATATTAATTTATATGTATTGGTCCTTAAAGGTAAACAATATGACAATAACACATAGTGGAGAGTGAATACAATGTTTTCAAAGTTCTAATAATCTTTATCAAAACCTAAGACTCATTACAAAACATGAAACTATTGCAAAATAAAAACTAGAGATCAACATGTGCTTTCCAAATACTCAGAAGACCGTCATTCTCAAATTTGTTTTACCTCCTTCTTCATAGAACATGTTGCAATTCTCCTACGTGGAGGTCTGGACGCCCATAATGCATTTACTGCTAAATATGTCACATTTAATGCGTACCACAACCAGATTATGCTTGTTGTCCTTATCAAGCTTAAGATAGAAGTGCAACTTTTTCTTTTGATGTGATAGTGTACCTTTGTCCTTGTCTTAGAAAAGACAAAATACTTTAGTTGTTGGATTGTCAGGCGTCATCATCAACTGAAGGTTTGCCCATATGTCAATGGCACTATCCACTGGTCAGGATAATCTGGTGCTTGTTAGTGAATACGTGTTGATCAGTTGTTAGAGCCATAACTCTTATTTGTATCTTACTTCTTATTGGTGTTGCAGGGAAATCAGCAGCAAGAAGGCGAACTCTTTCTAGTTTGACTAACTAATAGAATAGTGTAGGGTCCCTAGGAACAGTTTTTTATATGATATCTTATGTGTTTAGTACCTGTGAGTTGATATGATATGAGTTACCATACTTGTCAGCATTTATTCCATCAATTCTTCATCTGAATGTTTATATTCAAATCATCTATTGGTAGGTGTAAAACAAGAACCATCATCGATAAAGATGTTATCAGCCGATGTTGCATTATCAGTTGATACATATCACCAATAGTGCCTATAAATGGTACAATCCATCTGTAACCTAATTGGATAAATGTTGATCCATACTCTTTCAGTGATTTGATGATGATCTTTTTTACCTAGCGAAAAATACTTATTTTTGTTTTATTTAGTTTCAGCGATCATCACTGAATCTGTTCAGTGATTGCTGAACATATATTGTAAATCTCTAAAGAACAAGTATTCTTCAAGAAGACAAAACTCACACCAAAAAGAACCTTCAGTGATGTCAAAGATAAAGCTGAAGATAGAGATAAGCAGTTAGTGATTTGAAGCTGTTTTTCAATGATAACAAGTCTGTCTACAATCAAGTGTGAAGTCTGCTCAAGATTCAGCGAACATTGAAGAAACTCTAGAGTTATTCCAGTGTCAGAGATCAAATGAATCTTATTATCCAAGATTAGTTTTTGTCTTATCTTCCTGCACACAAAGGAAAAACCTATACCTTTTAAAGTAAAGCACATGTACGGAGTCACTCTATTGTACCTAAACGTGTTTACCTACATTGTGAAAGACCATTGTTCATATACAACCAAAATCTTGTATATTCGAAGACAAATGACAAGCTCACCTATAAAAGCTTGCCACGTGCTTTGTACTTTCTGACTTGCATTTAATGCAATGGATATAAATATCCATGAAGAATCTCCTCTCCAGAGGCACATACAAGAAGCCAAAATTCTTGAGTTCTTTTCAAAACAACTCGTTCAGCGTGTTGAAGTTGAGATGAGAATTTCATTTGTACCATAACCTATTGATATCTGAGAGGCTTTAGAGAGAAAACAACTATTCTCAGTGAGAGGAAAATCCATATTGATAACATACACGTTCTCTTGACAAGAACATGTAAGAGCGAGGTTGTCATCTTTGTTGAAGACGTAATATGAATTCTTCAGAAATTTCATTGTAAAATCTATATCACACAATTGACTGATGCTAAGAAGATTGTGCTTCAGTCCTTCAACATATGCAACATGTCTGAAGGTGGTTGCACCGTTAGTCAATATACCAAAGCCCTTGGTATATCCTTTTCCTTTTCCTCCAAAGGTCACGGAAGGGCCTCTTTCATATTTTTATAGTCTGAGAGCAGGGTTTTGTCTGGTCATGTGTCTTGAACATCAACTATCTAGATACCAAATGGCTTTGACTTCCTACAATAAAAAAGATATTAAGATTGCTTTGGTACCCGTTTCTCAATAGATCCATCAGAGATAAAGGCGACATCTTTCTTTACTGAGCATGAAGAAGAGGCTTCAGCGTCAGCAAGAGTTTTCATTGAGCCTTGCTCGTCGGTTTATTCAACCTTAGATTCCAACACAAAAATAGAACTTGGCGCAAGTATACACCTCGAACTACTGTCGTCTCGTAACAAGTAATAATGGTAAAAAGTACCAGATTTATCGTTCCCACAGAGATAGCTTGCAAAGTTAATTCAAAAAGTCCAGTTTATAAAAACTAATTTCAGA